CATTTCACAGGTGACAGAACAGAGCAGAGGGAGGCTGAGTAACTTACCCAAGGTCACACAGCCAGGAAGCGACTTAGGTGAAATTCAACCTTGCTGGCCCTTGCTGTCTCCCGGGACCGAGTGTAAAGGCTAAAGCCACAGGCAAGACTGGACAGGCACCCCTCGGCCGTCTGCGGTGTGTTACACGCTGCGCTCTGCAAGCGAGTGAGTGGGTCGCAGGCTCGTGCTGCCCCGACTTCCCTGTGTTTTTTATTGGAGCAGTTTTTGCTGTAGAGCGCATGCTCACCAGAAAGACAGAGAGAGATAGAGAGACAGAAAGCAAGAAATCACCCCCCAGGGGGGATAGCCATGCCGCAATCCCTTCTCCTCCATTCTCCTCTCAGGATCTTGGGCACGCACGCACACACGCACCCGGCGTGAGTTTAAGCCACCAGGTCCAGGACTTGAACCACGGTCGACTACATGGGAGTCCAGCGACATAGCCATTACACCAACTGCTGGTCCCCTTCCCTGTGTTTTTCACCATATATGGCATAGCCCCTGGGAGAGGGAGCCCCTGGCAGAGGGCATCTCTGGCCCCTCTTTTTAGAAGTCAGGTGAGGTGACTTGCTGACGTCCCACAGCGAGACAGTGACCCAGGAGCCACACGAGGACTGGCCTGGCCTTTGTCCCTGACCTCTGCACACCGCCTGGCCCGCCCTGCCATGGGAATCACTTGGGACTTGCTGCGGTGGAGGGGAGGACCTCAGGTTTGAGGCCTCGCTGCAGCCCTGGCCAGGTGGTGACCCCGGACACGCTCCTGCTCTCCCACAGTCCTCAGGGGAAACACTGGCCACCCCGGCTCACAGTCCCCACCACGACACCCTGGCACTCATCCCCAGGAGAGGACGTGTCCACTCACAGGTGGCCTCACGCAGGCCCTGTAAGAGGCGGCCGAGGCGGCTCTGGGCTGGAGGGATGGACCGTGACCTTGGAACCTGCTGGGTGGCTGCCAACACAAGCAGAGCCCCTGGGTGGCATGTGCCGGGTGCGCGTCAGAGCAGGGAGTACACGGATGTCCCAGAGATAGCGGCGGGGCTCCATTCTGAGACCACGACGGTGACGGCGCTCCCCACATTCCCAGAGAACTCCCGGCCAGCTGGCAAAGGCTCCTGGCGGCTGCCACAGTCCCTGGTGGCTGCCACAGTCAGGGTTCACGGAGACCGGGGCTGCCGCGGGCCGAGGGGCCTGCCCTGGGGCACAGGGCTCAGCACAGCCTCCCTTGCTGACTGCGTGACCTCGGGCACCTCTCCTCACCTTTCCGGCCTCACTTTCCTCACGTGTGAAACGGACATGGCCTTGTGAGATCTGCGAGAGTCGGCGGAACAGTAAACAAAGAGCAAGGCCCAGGGCCCGGCCCATGTTACACGGCTGCCGTGACAGTGACCATGGTGAGCCAGGCGTATCCCGAGTGCTTTGCACACGTGAACCTGTCTGGGCCTCGCGATGCTGCGTGGAAGGCGCCGTCGCTGCTCCCATCGTACAGAGGAGCTCAGCAACATGGCCAAGGTCACGCCGCTCTCACCGGACACTCAGACGGAGGGGAGAGCCTGGAACACCTACTATGTGCTGGAAGCTTTCCCAGTCTTCCCAGGGCCTACTGAGGTGCCAGTGACCCCGCCAGGTCAGAAGAGAAAGAGGAGGGAAGCCCAGGGTCACACAGTACCACGTGGGGAAGCCGGGGCCGGCGCCAGGCCTGTGTGTCCGACATCCAGTGTACCTGTCACCTCCTTCCCAGTCAAATGCCAGGACAACCCCAGTCACGGAGGGCAGGCCTAGGCCTCAGCCTCCCGAGCACAGGGAGCCCGCCACAGCATGGCACGACCTCACTCTGCCCATGTGTGTGAGTGTGTGTGGGGGGTCCTGGTAGTGAGCCATAGGACACGGAGCCTGCGGTTCCCATGGCAGGCTGCCCCTTTGGCTCCAGCACCCCCTGGGCGTTGATGCGACCATAACCTCCTCATGGCCTCTCCTGCATGGCCGGACTGCTCCTCTCCAGAGGGTGAGGCTTCAGTCCCTTCAGTCCCCCAGGTCAGCTCTACAGCTCTGGGCGACGGCTCTGCAGAGCGAGGCTGAGAGCAGCGAGGGCAATCCAGGCTTCCAAGTCCATGTCCTGCCCAGTACTCAAGGGCTGTTCCCTTGTCGGAAAGCAGGGGCCATAAACTCCACTCTGACTCCAGCATCGGCTTCCTAGAAGGGAAGGACCTTACCCACCGTCGAGTGCAATGCAGGCACTTCCATGGTTCCCCGCGGCTCCCCGATGACTACATGGGCGCCTGCTATAATTCTGGGCCACCCTGAAGCCAGCTCCCCTTCCTAACGATTCCACCAAGTTTCCCTGGTTTGGATGAGAATGAGCCCCACCCCCAGCTCCAGGCGGGCCCTGACTGGCTCGAGTTGGTCGATGGTGTGTTGTGAGGGTGACGTGGTAGGGAAGGGCTCTATGTGGAGCCTGAAGATGAAGTGGAGGAGATGCAAAGAATCTGAGCCTTGGGAGACCTCACGCAGGCCCCTGGATGCAGCCATGCCTGAAGCCCACAATTAAACACCTCAGTCACATGAGCCAGTTAATTTCCCTTATTGTTTGTCGTGGCTTTTCTTTATCTTGGGACACAGTGTCTGAACTCCAGTTTGGCCAGTTTTCCCTGGCTCCTTGCACTGTACGCAACCACATCATAGCATTCAACTCAGCCAGCATTGTCTCCACCAGAGAAAAACCCTGCACACAACTAAAGGTGCGCTGAGAATTTTCATCCATGTGGAAAACAAGAGTCCAGCTTCAGACAGGTAGGTTTTCGGTTCTTGGGCCAGATCTGCCTAACAGCCCCGCTCTGTGCTGGACGTGGCCCCCTACCTTTGACGATGAGGTTCCCAGCTTCTGCCGTGTGCCTGGCCCTGTTCCAGGGGATGCAGGTACAAGCCCTGCCTTCTCGGCCTTTTGGTCATAATTCTCACTTCTAATGGGTTTTACGCAAAACCCCCAGGATGCTGGCACAGAGGGGAAGCACCACTAGACCCATCTCCCAGAGGAAAGGGAGGCTCAGTAAGGTAAAGTGACTTGCCCAAGTCCCCTCTGCTAAAGAGCCCTCAGATCCACCTGCCGCTAGGCCCAGTGCTTTTTCTCCCAGCACAAGGGTGGCAGGGATGGGGCTGGGGCCATCGCTTCAGACAGTTTGCTCTACTTAGGAGCTGTCAGAGTGGTTTGGAAGCAAAAGAAAACAGGAAAGCCAAACATCCTGGGATCCCTGCACGCCCCAGGGTCAAGCCCCTAGACTCTGGCCCATCCAGTTTGAGTGTCTTATAGGTCTTGCTGCTTACAAGCTGTGGCCAGAGAGGAAACTCAGCACTCTCCTGAAACCCAGGCCCCAGACGCCCTCCTGGCAGCGCTGTCAGCCACGTGAGCTGTCCAGCCTCTCCGATGACTCTGCCATACATCCCCAAGATCCCGCTAACGTGACCGAACTTCCCCTCCACCCCATTCCAGCATTGTGGGAGTGCTGTTTATTGAGCAGCTACTATAAGCCAGGAGCTATTCTGGGTGCTGAACCAAACAGTCCAGATCCCTGTGCTGGGGCAAGCAAATTACATGCAAGTGAGTAAAACCAGCAGGATGCCAGGGGTGGCAAGCCAAGGGAGAAAAAGCAGGCAGGGAGGAGAGGAGGCAGTTTTAAATAGACAGGCCAGAGACGGTCTTGCCAAGAACTCATCTCGCTGCAGTCTTGCAGTAATCCCACACAGCTGAGAACATGACTCCCAAGCCGCAGATAAGGAGACGAAGGCTCAGGGTTAAATCCCCAGTCCACACATGCACACCTAACCAGCCCGCAACCCGGTCTCGCCCGGGGCCGCCTGTCTCCCACGTGCCCCCTCCCCTAGTTTTAGCAAGAGCACTGGCAGTCCTTTCCCCAGACCATGTAACCGAGGCTCTGAGCAGTGAAGCCGCATGCGCAGTCCTTGGGAGCGCAAGGCTAGGGCTGCAGTGGGCTCCAGTGCCGCCCTCTGGAATGGCCTCTTGGAGAGCTCAGCCCTGCTACCCCAGCTTCCGCTCCAGGCTTGCTGAAACTCAGTCCTCTCTGCTGACTCCGTGTCCTTCAGGAGTCCTCCTCCATTTCTCAGAGCCCCTTCGGCTCTCTGTCCTGGATCATATGAGCTTGTTTGGCCTCTCCAATAAACTCCTGCCCATCACTAGCCCCGTATTTGCATGAAACATTTGCGTTAACGAGGGAAACCATCTTGCAGGGTCAAAGGCAGAGGCTAGGATACAGCGTGGGGGGCGGGGGCTTCTCGCTGTGCCTTCCCATCTCCTGGGCTGGTCTCTCTGAACACTGGCATAGTGGGAAGATCTCGGCCTTGGAGGAGGTGGACCTGGGGCTATGTCCTGGGGTGCAGCTTTGAAAGTGACTGCCTGGAGTGTCAGGTCCTTATCTATAAGACAGGGTTAGCTAGACCCTTCTTGCAGGGTTGCTGGAAAGATAAAATGTAGCGGAAATGTCTGTTAAGGGAGACATTTGACAGAGAATATATTTGGAAAGCCGTTAGCAGAGCCTGACAGACAAATATCAGAATTTGTGGAGTTGGGCTCAGCCTAGGTGGAGCAGGCCAGAACGTACTGGCCCGAAGGGCCGAAAGTCACACGTCTGGCCATGGGTTCGGATCCCCGGTCAGCCTGAAAACATGTTGGACATGCGTGTGGGTGCCCAGGCTCCTGAGGACCAGAGGGTTGGGAAAGGGGATCGCGGCTCAGCAAGGCCCGGGGGAGGGTGCGGGCTCGTGTGCTCTCTACCCAAAGACAGACAAACCAACCAACTGTTGAACTGGATGAAGAAGTCCGTGTAGTGTGGAGCGACTGCCCAGTAGAACCATGGCTGCATTCACTGCGTGCCTGTGCTCCGAGGCAGGTTTTTAGTATTACCCACATTTTACAAAAGAGGAATAAAGCAGGAAGAGGTTAAGTAACTCACCTGAGGTCACACAGCAGGTCAATGGCAGAGCTGGGTTTATGAGCCCACATCGTCCAACTCCTTTAACCATTAGGGTAACTTAAGTAAACCGAGGCCTCGGAAGTTGCGGTGGCACACAGGTTAGGCACTGATCCAGACGGGGCTGGCAGGCGGCTCTGAGCCTGCCTGCGTTCTTAACCAGCACATCCGAGCCAAAAGGGACTCGGGAATAATCTAACACAACACTCACTGTTTTTCCCAGAGAGACCTTGAGGTCCGAGAGGTCCCAAGACCTGCCCAGGTAGGTGAAGCAGCAGGACAAGCCCTGGTTTCCGGACTCCAGAACCCCACGCTACACGCTATCACTCAGTACCACCTTGACCAGGAGGGGCTGGCAAGGAAGAGTCTTGACGTGCTGGGAGTTTTCTAGCGACAGTGGAAGGAGGACGGTGCGAGCAGAGGGTCGGCCCATGCACTGGCCCTGAGGCCCGATGTGCTCTGGGGATGGACGGTGAGCCAGAGGGGGCGCAGAGACTGGGGCCGGGTCAGAGGGTAAGGCTGGCTTTTCCTACCGAGTATTTCCACTTGGTTCTTTCAACGCCTTCTCATCCTGCTTTTTCCCACGCTTATTTGCTCATGTAAAACTCTTAGTCCCTCTGTTCTAACACCCCTGACTGTGTCTCTAATCAGCTATGGCTTTTCTTTTGAAGTCATCGTGCTCTGGCTCATGGGGGGCATAGGGGGGGACCAGGCACACCATGCCCCTAAGACTAACAGCAAGGGAAGACATCCAGCAGCTCCGGACTCTCCCACTCCCTCCCACTCGAGTCAGTCCCCGATGCAGACAGAGCTGAACGTCTGGGGAATGGGAGGGCCTTCCCTGTGCAGGCGGCAGGGTGGCAGGGTGGCTGCGGCCAGGACCAAAGGCAAGGCGTGGTCTTTGGGGTAGCAGAGGGCATTGTAGGAGAGAGAACAGGTGCCGAGTGCTGCTCTGGCCCCTTTGTGCCAAGCTCTCCCTACCCACCCCTCCACACACACACTGTCCTGGGACAACCGAGGCCAGCACCCTCATGGAACCTGGCAGACCAAGTACTTGGCACAGGTGTCTGCTGGGGTCAAAACAGCAGCGCATCAAGAAGGACCATGGTCTCAACAGTCCCTCCACTGGCCCTTCCCTCCCAGCCCCTGAGACTGGAGGATGCCAGCCTGGGCCGACCCATCTTCCCCTTGCCATTCCTCCCAGCAACCAAAGGGAGGCTTAATCAAGAGGGAGAGGGAGTGGTGAAAGCAAACCCAGAGGGGGGCCAAGTGTTTCTGGTACCCCGAGTCCTCACCCTGGGGCTGTCTCTGTTTAAGCTCATTTGAGCTGGGAGACTAAGGTCACGCATAGACTTGCTTTTTTCTTTTTTGCCGGAGGGCATGTTCACTTGCCAGAGAGATGAGAGAGGGTGTGGTCACACTACAATCCCTTCTCCTCTCTCTCCCCCTCCTGTCAGGACTTCAGGCACCCATGCATACGCGCCCGGTGTGTTTTTCAAGCAGCAGAGTCTGGGACTCAAACCACGTGGCTGGCCATGTGGAATCCTTAACCACCAGGCCACAGATAGCTCCCAGGCTTAGACTCTTACCCCAGGACACAGCACCAGACAGAAGAGCTGAAAGTGCCCCACACCCCTGAGGAATGAGTTCATGGGTTAAAGGACAGTGTGTAACTAAGGAGCTCGAGGATTTGCAAAGAAAACAAACTGATTAGAGCTATCACTGGGTCAGTGGTATTAGAACTGATGGCTAAGAGTTTTAAACAGATCTTAAACACACACACACAAATAGAAAGAGATGACAATATAAAACAGAACAAGAAAGTAGAGTCTATAGGAAAGACCAGTTGAAATAACGGACATAATAGGTAGAATCAATGGTAGAGTGGATTCGGCTGCTGAAGAATGAAATAGCAAAATGTCGATTTGGAGAACTCTTCCAGGAGGAAGCAGGGAAAGATTAAGAAACAGAAAATAGAAAAGAAAAATTAAAAGAGCATTAAGCCTGGGGCCGGCAGGTGGCGTGGTGGTTAAGGGCACTGGACTCCCACATGGCCAACCAAGGTTCGGGTCCTGGACCTGGTGGCTTGCTCATTCTCTGTGTGTGTGTGTGTGTGTGTGTGTGTGTTTCTCTCTGGTCAAGATAAAATAAATAAATTAAATAAATAAAGTTAAATAAAATAATTCTAAGAAATAAAAAATCAAGCTCAATTTTACTCCATTAATTTGAGATGGATCATAAACCTAACTGTAAAAGTCAGAGTTATAAAGCTTCTAAAAGAAAGCATATTAATAAAAGCATAAATTTATGATTTTGGAGGAAGCAAAGGCACTAACTTCACAAAAGAAAAAAATGATAAACTGGACTTCTTCAAAACTTGAAATCTCTTCTTTTGGGGCCAGTAAGTGGCACGGTGTTTAAAGCACTGGACTCCCACGTGCCCTGCTGTGAGTCCTGGACCTGATGGCTTGCTTTCTCACTTTCCCTCTCTCTCTGACTTTCTCTGGTGAGTGCATGTGGCCTATAGCAAACTGAAAAATAATCATTTATAAAATTAAATGAATAATTCTTTTAAAAACATCACTTCTGTCAAAAGATACCTTTACAAAACTGAAGAGGCAAGACACATAATGGGACAAAAACATTCACAGAACACATGCCTGACAAAAGACTTGCATTCAGTAAACGAAGAACTCCCTAAAGTTGACAATAAAATGATGAACGATCCTTCCCCACCCCATAGGCTAAAGACTTGGCCATTCCAAAACAGAATATGCAAATGATTAATAAGTTCGTGAAAAGGTGCACAAGATCATTACTTATCAGATTACTGCAAATTAAGCCTATTTCGCACCTATGAGAACGACTAAAACCAAACAGAAGAGACTGGAAACACCAGCTCAGAAGCCTCATATATTAGTCATAGGAGCATAAATTAATACAGTCACTTTGCAAAAGAGTTTGGTAGTTCCTTAGTAAATTAATACTAACAAACTTATCATATGACCCAGCAATTTCATTCCTAAGTGTTTGCTCAAAAGAAATTAAAATTTAGCTACATGAAGATTTATAAATAAATGTTCAAAGGAGTTTTATTTGTAATACCCCAAAACTATAAACAGTTTAAAAGTCCACTAACAGTCACTTATTTGGGCCAGCTCCATGGCCTAGTGGTGAATGGACCTGGATCCCACATGGCCAACTGCATAGTTCAAATCCCAGACACAGTAGCTTGGAAACACACTGGGCATGTGTGCAAGTGCTTGCCCCAAATCCCTACAGGATGGAAAAATGGAGAAGAGATCTGAATGTGACCATGCCTCATCAGGGGTGCTTTCTTCCTTTTCCTCTCTCTCTGGTAAGTGCACATGCCTTCTAACAAAAACAAAACCAAAAAAACATGTATTCAAACAATGGTAACATATTGATATGTGCAATATGATATGTTCCATATAAAACTTTAGAAAAGATCAATCTAATCTATGGTGAAATAAATCAGAATAATGGTTGCCTTTGGAAGGCAAAATTTTCTGGAAAGAGGTGGAAGGGAACCAGCTGGGATGATAAACATTTTTTTTTAAGAGGTTTTTGCCTTAGGGTGTATATGCATGCTGGGGGGAGAGAGAGAGAGAGACACAGTGAGAAGGAAAGTGAGAAATCACTCCCTAGGAGGGACAGCTATACTACAATCCATTGTCTCCCATCTTCCTCCTGGGACTTGGGCATGCACACACACACGCCCAGCATGATTTTCAAGCCACCAGGTCCAGAATAAAACTACAGTCAGCCATGCAGTAGTCCAGCAACATAATCACTATGCTATCTGCTGGCCCCAGTAGACGTGCTTTTTAAAATTTTATATTGGGATCAAAGTTACAAGATAATGTATATTTGTCAAAACTTACTGAACACTTAAGACCTATGTATTTGTATACCGTAACAACAAAAACGAGTGTTAGACATGTAAGTTGGAACAGCTAGATAATGAAAGTCCCAAGAGAGGAAGATAAATCAAAGGAGGAGATAACTGAGAAATAATGAAGATAATCTTGGAACCAAAGAAAGATGAAAAGTCTTGGTTTGAAAGAGCCCTAAATATACCAAGCAAGACAGAGTAGGAAAAACCTAAACTTAGATTATAATGAATATCAAAACACAATGAAAACCATTCTGAGAGTCTAGAGAAAAACAGATCGCTTACAAAAGGAAAGAGTATCAAATTGAATTCACGAAAGCACCAAAGGAAAACATCTGAATTGAGAATTTTAATACCCAGCTAAACTCTCATTCAAATGTTAGAGACTGATTTAAGGCACAGTATTCAAGGGCTCAAGTATGTACAAAAAGACATTCTCCACCCCCTATGAAAAAAAAAAATATAAAAAAAACACAAATTTGAAGGAACTATTTAATACAAATGTATTCTACAGATGATACTAAAGATACTTCAATACAGCAAATAACTTAGTAAAGTTTAGTTGATTTTTTTAGAAAAAAATCCAAGATCAAAGAGAACAATAAGAACATATATCTATAACTCAGAACTCAAAAATGTAGGCAACTTCAAAGTGATATTGTGGGGAATGAAGAGAAGAGGGAAATCAAGTGGTATGAGAAAATGTTAACCGTGTCTTTATAGGAAAAAGCCACAGGTAGCATTTTTTCTCAGCAGTAAAACATAATGACATATAAAAAGGAGGACAAATTGAAATAGAAAAGCAGGATGGTAGAACAAAGTACATAAGCACACATTCTTTTTAGGAACACTCACATGCTTTAAAAATTGATCACATACAAAGCAAATCTCATATTTCAAATAATAGGTTACATTCTGTGACCACAGTACAATTAATTTAGAAGTTCAAAGTTTTTAAAAGGACAAATAATTACCCATACTCTTAGAAATGATAAACATCCCCAAAGAATCCATGGATCAAAGAAAAGTCATAGTAGAAATTTAGAATTACTTGGAACTGAATGATTATATAAACATTACATATCAAAAATTGTGTAATGCATCAAAGGAAGGTTAAAAATTAATGAGCAAAGCATCCAACTTAGGAAGTTAGAACTAATAAACTAAA